GTGTCAGCTGATCACAACCTTGGACTAGGAGCACTTTACAGGGTGCTAACACACAAATTCTGGACCTCTCTCTTTCCACCATCTCCTTTACTGATATTAGGAACCTTCCTGATCTGCATCTTGTGTTTTATTTTATTTCTCATGCCAATCTTGTTCCCTTATTTTCTTTTATTATTTTACTTTAAAATTGGATTTTTATATCTGCCAATACTCTTAGTGACATAGAATGGGTATCATTATAGCTTATTATGCTAACATATTATGACACTACTTTATTTGGTGAATATATTTTGCTACCATCTTACCACTGCTACTAGTCAACTGTTTAAATTCCCTATCACTTTCAAGCGAGAGGTATCTATTAACCACACTTACCTGTGATATGCTACATATACTACCACCGACTGTTATATTGAAATGTTAAATAATAATCCTTATCTTAATACAAATGTGACGAAATTTAAAAGTATATCGTAACTGTGGCAAAACTAGCCACCAGAGACTATCAATGTTTAAGGATGTGTGTATTGTTGCTAAGTCATAGAAATCAATGCTATTTGTATTTCAAGCGAATGAGGGCATTCGTATGCTGGCGGTATGAAAACACCAGCATTTCTAATAAAGTTTCACGAACAGTGAGTTAAACCCTGTTCGTGAAACGAATAACATATCGAACGCACGACCACACACAGGGGGTCGTGTGGCACCCATTAACCGATTGCAACAATGTTGCAATCGGTAATTAAGAGTGTTCCTAGGTGGCCGTCGTTCGAATACCGACCACGCGGCGGTCGGCCATCTTGTTTCTTTTGTTAGCCCAGCGGTGTTTGGTCGTCGAGCGCCAGGAACTAAAAACGGCTACTCGACGGCGCGAACACCGCTGGACTTCCAGGCCATTCGGGACCCTCGGCCATTCGGTAGTTTATTCCCCTTATGATAATCTGTATTTTAAAACCTATGTTAGAAATTATGTGTATTTCGTATGGCGTTCGGTTAGTTAGACTGGGAGCTGAGCGGTATTCTCACGAACGATGCGCTCAGCCTCCAGCTATCTACCGAACGTCCATTCGTGTAAAACTAGTGAATATTGTTAAAGTTATGTATTTTAATGTAAAAAGTGAGTTCTGCTGCACGGAGGGGTAATCCCATTAACGGTATATTCCAGTGGGAGTATCCCTCTCGTCCAGCAGTGTATGATGGGAAAATTGTGTGTGTTGGTCAGTTCCCCATGTAGTCCCCTACTGTACAACCCCTGAAATGTCAGTAGGGAAACCCCTTGCATGGGGAATCCCATAAATACCGTGACCTGAAAATAAACCTCCGTTGACCTCCAAGCTATGTGTCGTCTAGTTCTTGGGAGGAAGGGATTGTAACTACGCTACCTGGATTTTACCTGCTTTGTGCCTGCTTGATTCTGTCTACCAGCGGAGATACCGTGGATAATACTACTACTCCGCTACAGTAATATTGAAAAATCGATTTGCAACATTTGGGTATATAACCTATTAAACTGCTGAACTTCATTCTTAACACAGTAGCCCAAGCTGCTATGAACTCAACTAAAAATGACTATGGCCTCTATTTAACATTTTGAAAATGCTTTTCATATGATTTTATATGTTTTAATAAAATGTTAAATGCATTAATATTTTTAAAAAATATTGTAATATTTAGATTTTTTTATATATTGATATTTTTTATTTTTGATATATTCTTTGCATATTGTATATACCGTATTTATTCAAATCTAATGCTCCATTGAATCTAATGACCACCTTAATTTTTGAAACCTGGAAGCATAAAAATGTTTTTGCTGGCGAATGTATTGCGCGTTTATACAAGAAGATACTACTATACAACATTGTGAAAATGATTATTGCCATATACCATCGTAACATTGATGGTATTTCAATTTTAGTATTACGTGTTAAGTCAATTCTTTCTTAAGCACTCTTTCAGGAACAATATTTGCCTATGTGAATTCGCCTGTGTGAATTCACCAGTTTGCATTTCTGTTTTTGAATTCACCAGTTTTAATTCACAGGAAAATTGGAAATTTTGCCCCAAATGCAATACGCCACCAAATCTAATGCACGTTCAAATTTTGGAAACTTTACTTTCTAAAAAAGGTGCTCATTAGATTCAATCAAATACGGTATTTTAACATTATTTATCCAAAAATATTAAATAATTTAAAAATCTTATCCGAAAAAATTAAATTGAGGTCTGCATTTCTCCACATTTTATCTTTTTTATTTGACATCTTTTGATAATGTGCCTTGAGAACTCAATTGAGATAATGTCAATTTTGCAGAAGTAATCCTACTGATAAAATAAAGTGCAGCTATGAAAGCATTTAAAATATATGAAGGTACTATTGGGTACCTCTTGTTGTTTGGGCATTTAACTAAGCCTTTAATCATAACCGAGGCACAGAGTAATCTCACATTCTAATGGCCACATAAGAATAATGCTGTTTTCAATATTTTCCAGTATAGATATTGCACCTGTAGATATCAGTCTAAAATCAGCATATCAAGTAATGTCTCTATTATGCTCTTGGTACCAAAACATAGCTCATTGCCTTTGTTTATTAAAGGGGCGCACACACACAAACATCTTTTATACAACAGCAACTGCTTTCTCGCTATTGTTCCTCTCCATCTCTGGAAAGCTGTCAGTAATGACAGTTATCCTTTCTGCCCAGACAAAACTGGTGCATGCATAGAAATTAGTGTGAATGCATCAATCAAAGTGCTGCACCAATCAAATGTCTCCCGATATGTCCTGCTTTAGGGGTCTGGAGTGTCCCTTTAACAGTCACATGTTGTGAGTATAAGCATAATACTACCAATTCATAGATATATCTTCATCTGGTTATAGAAATACCCTTAACCCACCCTCTTCTTTTACACATATCGTGACTTTCTGAACAAGAAGAGATACAGAGGTACAGTGTCACCATAGTACACGAACACCCAAGCGATCTGAGCCTATCCATAGAGGCTCTGGCCCATGTGAGTGAGACCATTGTGACTATATACTTGTCTACTGTGTCACCATGATATTGCACTATATTAGTTGTATTGTTTCAGATGTTTATACTATGGTGTGTTCCCCTTTATACTGAATATTGTGTTACCCAGTAGGGGTAAGTTATTATAACTTTAAGCACTCCATAATTACACTAGTGGGGGTTAATATATATTTTCATTCTCTTTTGTGTATAATTGTAGATTATACTAGCTTTAGTGTAACTATAATCTTAATTTTATTAATGACAGGACACGAATATTTGCTTAAGTCTCTCTTTACGAGAACTCCACAGCAGCACATTAACATAGAGAGAAAAACACCAGAGACAAAAAAACTCAATCCATAAAAGGCTTCTCACAACCAACTAATTCCTTTTTCACGCTGCGACAAAATAAAGTACATGAACTATACACCACAAATACAATAACAAGAGAAACAACATAAGAGTACGATGAATGCCATCCAAAATTGGAAACGTGGAACCAGTGGATGAAGCCTTGACCTTTATCCTGTAGAGTAGTCAGATCTAAGAACTGTAGCTGTAGAATATTGCATATTCTATGTTTCTATTGATTATATATATGGATGTGTGGATTGACATAAGTAACAGATGGTATCAATAAGTCACAAGGCTTTCTTTGTCCGAGAGAACTGGAATGTGGATGTGGGGGTCTTGTCCTTATATGGCTAGAGTTAAATGCTGACGTTAGTATTAGCACATCTTTATAGTAACAGAGGGACACGAGGTCGCTCTCTCTTGGCTTGGCTCTTGGCTCTGTACAACGATGTTACTCTCCCATCAGAAGTACAGCAATTACCATCTGCTGTTGAATGTCCATTATCCTGTAACATCATTTATTATGTTTTATTATGTATCCATAACAAAGAATAAACCTGAAGAAACCGTAAGTCAGATTGTGTATTACTACTTTTCAATAATATAGACATATATTATTGTGGCGAGCATTTGGCCCAGGAATATATATACAAAAGACGTATATATATCAATCAACTGAAGACAAGATGAAATTAAGAAGATTCTACATTATATCAATTCATCTAGATTTTACATTGGCCAGCCAGCCAGTCTTCTATTCAAGTTTTGTTCCCACTTCAAGGGGGGGGAGAGAAGAATCGAGTTACAAAGCTATTTTGGAACTGGGAAAACAAACTTGAAGAGAAAAAAAGAATCTAGACTGACTGTCATAGAAGAACTGTGGTTTTTAAGAAAAAGAAAGTTTTCAAATCACAAAGACTGTGCAAGACTATTTTCTACAACTGAGACAAAAAGCACAAGATACAACGTGAATTCTAGAAGCAAGCATGTGGCAGACATTAGCAATCATCCAGCCCCAAGCAAAGAACTGCGCAGCTGTGTGGATGAAGCAACGAAATAGACAGAAATAACTGATCTGGTGAGTAACATGGAATTCATAAATGATATTGCAGAGAAATGTAAATTGCAGTTTGCATGTAATAGCAGCTATTCAGATGCTGTATTGTGGTAATTGTTATACACACAATGTGAAATTGCCAATAGTGAAATTGACAAGAAATTGTTTGTTAATAAGAAAAAACAAAAGATCAGAAATGTTATGAAACTAGTCTGTACTTACAATGCATTGATTTGTAAACGAGATGCAGGTCAAGACAATTTAGAATCAGCAGATAAAGAAATAGATTTGAATGGGTTAACAGAAGACAAATCAGATTTAAATGAACAGTGTAACAATGTAACAGAGAGCACATAGTCAGAAACAGTCTGTGAATTAGAGGATAGAGTTGAACTAAGAAATTATTTTAGTTGCCAGTTTACAAATGAAGTTAAGCACGTGTGTGTTAATACAAGAAAAATAAAGGCACAGAATCTAATCCCAGAACCAACAGATACTGAAAATGTATCCTCACAGAATGATTTTGCAGAAATGTTGGAAAAACTAAAACCACACAAGGGGGAGGATATATTTAGTTTTCTTGTAAAATTTGAAAGTTCATATAGACTTGTTGCAGATTTTTCTGAAGATCAGTTAATTAATGAATTTGTGAAAAAATTTCAAGATCTAGATCCAACTGCAATTGTGTTAGCTAGAGAAAAAAGCACTTTGACAGAAGTAGCTTTGTTCTTGGATAACTTAAGGAGGGTAACCAATAATGAAGGGGTTAAAATGACTTGTGGAATTAGGCAGAGAAAGAAGTGCAGATTTTACACCCCTCGTCCCCCTCCTCCTCCTTCTTCTAGGACAGAGTGTAAAAGAGTGATACAGACAGCTGAGCCCCTCCCAATGTGTTCAACTAAAAACTGTAGAGTTAATCAAGGACAGAATATAACTCCTAAAATGATTTGTTTTTGGTGTAATAAACAACATTATTTAAGATCTTGCAGATATTTTATCCGAGATATCAACTCAAAAGCAAATGAGAAATTAAATTTGTTGATTGAAAATTTTGACAGAGAAAATACATGTAGTGATAAATCAATTAAAGCCTTTCCTTGTAAACTGATAATCAGACAAATAAGAGCAATTTTAGCTAAATCGAAATTAGGAGACAGACAAGCAATGCAATGTAACACAGAACGTTATAAGAATCAGATAACTTCAAGAGATATGATCAGTTTAGGGAATGAGCATGGATATGTGTGCCAACAGATGTACACAGGCTGATTCCAGAATTAAGAACAGCACAAGAATAGAGATCTATGTTAGTTTGTTGATTTAATGAATTGTTAGTCTGAACTGTTTTTTCATTGTTTTTATGTGTGTTATAAGAAAGTATTAGATTAATTAAAATAAAAATGTACATCAAGTTTGCAAATATGGCAGAATGAAATACACTAATGTAGCAGTTAGGAACATGCAATGTATGTTATATTGGCTGTATGCGATTATACAGTAACTCTAATCATTTTACAGAAGAAAAAACAATGTTGTTACTTCTGAGGTTGATTTAAAATCTTTGATTTAATTCATGAGAATGAGATTTTAATATCATGACTGATAATGGATTACTATATTCTGCAAAGCCTGGACATACATATGTTTGGATTATATAGAAGACAAAAGTTTTGGTAGGATAAAACCTAGATTTACAAATACATTTGATGTAGGAAACAATATATGTTTTTGTAGTTTGTTTCATGTGACAAAATGGTGCCAGTGTTGAGACAAAATGGCTGCTATTGCTAAAGTATAGTGGAAAACAATATTTTGTTGTAACATCTTATATGTGGTTAAGTTATACCTCCAGATTATTAAACAGTTTAAAAGGGGGGTATGATTAATACAAAGTTTGAAAATTAAAATGTGTAGAAAAGATATTTTGATATAAAGGAAATTTAAAGATTACACATCACATGGCATAAATGTAATGACCACTAGATGGTAGATCTCATGAGAAGAAATGAGTATGTTTTATGTAGTCCATGTAATTCAATGTTACACTGTCTAATAATAATGAAATATAAACATTGTAAGCCATTGTATTGAGGCTACACATGTTATTTGTTTTAATGTAGGTAAAGCGTGACAGATCCATGTGGCAATGAATCAGGAAAGCATTCCTTCAGACAACTGGACATCGACTGTTGGAAAGAGACTTTTCATCTGATCTGCAAACTGTGATGGAAGATTCTACAGAGTTCATTCGATTCAGAAGATTAACAGACTTACAAAGAAATAAAAGATTGACACTAACATAAATATTAATTCCTAAATATTAATGAAGAAGAAAACAGACAATGAAAAGTTATTGTACAGTTATGAGTATTAATACCAAGAGACTACTTATAACTATATAACACATGGAGTAAAATTACGAAAGTATAGTATTATGAAGAGAACTATTACATTATTACCTATACATAGGATGAGAAGTATCAGAGGTAGATAAAATATGAAGTTGATAAAATAAGGATCATGGTTACTTAATACTACAAAGATTGAGTTCAATAGTATTTCATAGATTCACTAGAATAAATATTTTGTTTATATCGAGGTGAAGTAAAACAAACAATGGTAACATAAGGAAGAAAACTAAGGAAGAATAATTTATATTGATTAATATTAAGTAATTATATGCATTAAGAATGCCTTGGATATAAGAGTTCAGAGATCCAAGAGGAATTGAATTGAATGGAAAGAGTATAGTACACAATTATATTTGACCAAAGTCTATAAAGGTATGGACTAGGGAGAATAGGTTTCTGGATATGATGGTATCCAATGAATACGTTGTTATAAGTTGTTTTATGATTACCCTGAGTTTGTTAGACACAGACTAGGAATAAGAGTTTCTGGGCAATATGACCCCAAGTTTATTTTTGTCTATTTTATTTTAGTCAGTTGAAGTGTACTAAGGAATATGGATTGGTCAGAACATTAGGACAATCCTGCTTTTAAGATGTATTACATTAATAAGTCATCACAATGCTAATGAAGAGTGTGATGCTAATGAATTTAAAGTATTCTTTCCAAGTTCTTTTAAAGTAAACCATTCTCCGATTGAATGTAAAATTTGTTACTACAAGGTGGCATTTTAGTGAAAAATATAATTATGTAAACAAAAACAAATCTATGATAGAAAGATTTCTGGGTGAAGAATTTCTAGGACAATAAGTATTGTCAACACCATGAACCTTATTTAAATTTTTTTTATAGAACTTCATGGTTGATAACACATCCTTTGAATGAGACTTATAAGTAGTGTTGATATATTTTAGGTAGTGAGAGCCTACTGAATATACAGATTAAATACTATGATTGTAAAGTACTGATACAATCATCACTAGGTGGTATTAATGGTATAGGAATGTAATTCATGAATACAAATGACCTAAAGATTTTAAGGTTGCTAGAAACCATATGATTCATGGAAATCTAATTGGACAGGATATTATAGTAATACATGTATTAGTACTTAAGTAATGGGGAGGGAAATATTCGCCTCCTGTCATTAATAAAATTAAGATTATAGTTACACTAAAGCTAGTATAATCTACAATTTTATAACATGTCAGGAGGCTTCATATTTGCTGTTTTAACACTCAGACAGCAAAGCTCAAAGAAACACGATCCGCCGTACCAACCTAACTTAGAAGATAGAATAAGAGATAAGGGCTGCGCCAATACACAAATGAAAGTTACAAATAGTCCAAATAAATAGCTGTAGTAAAATAAGAAAAGTCTTATCTAGAGTATGCTCTTTGGGGTTATGGGATCTATCCGTGCTTGATCCGGAGCAATTGTCCTTTATATATTCATCCGTGAGAATCCACTCGTATATGGAAGATAAAATGGTGGAGAGCCAATAGTGTAAAATGTTAAAACACTAAAAAATGAATAAGAAGGGAAAAATAAAACTCACATTTGAAAGAGCTAAACTTGCTCTAGTATAGAAGGCGTACAGCGATTTGATCCCCGCTTATGGGATATAGGGTGGACTTCCTCCGTCAGTGGTGTATCAGACACTCGGGTAGAAAGAAACAACCAATAGTGTACACTGGATACAATGTTGGTAATAAAATAAATGAAAATAAAATGGGTACTCACAAGGCGGGAGCAGAACAACTGCTCCTTGACGTAGCGCTGGTGGTATGATCCCCACCTAGGATTTCTTGGAGTCCGAGATGTTGAGAAAATGCCAGGTAGTAAATAAATTAGAGTGTATAAAAAGGATAAGTGGCACAGATTAAAAAGTAACCAAATATACTTTAATATATATAAAATACACAATTAAAAGTCCATAAACGCGTTTCGCCAAAATGGCGTTATCAATATGGGGTAAGAACCTGAAACCTGGCATAACATAGTTTATATAACAACTGTAATTCTATAAAATTGGCGCCTAAAGTGAGCAGCCAATCAACAAGGAGTAAAAACATAAGTTGATAAAACAGTTTAAAAGTAGAAAGATCAACACTCTTATACAATCATATGTTCATTATAAGTATTATGGTATTAGTACATATGCAAAACGAAAAGTATAACTCTATATTTGTAAATTAATGTGTGCGGTCATGTGACCGGCACCATGCCGCTGGGGAGTATGGGAGTAGTAGTGTAGGCGCCGGCGCGCACTGCGCAGCCGCCGGCGTCTATGTAAACAGTAAGACGTCAGCTCGCACACTAATTGCGGCTGACGTCAGTAGGAGGGGTGGAGCGACGGCGGCTCGCACGGGAATGCGGCCGTCGTCCAGGAAACCAGGAGTAGTAGTGTAGGCGCCGGCGCGCACTGCGCAGCCGCCGGCGTCTATGTAAACAGTAAGACGTCAGCTCGCACACTAATTGCGGCTGACGTCAATAGGAGGGGTGGAGCGACGGCGGCTCGCACGGGAATGCGGCCGTCGTCCAGGAAACCAAATAAACAGACGACGGCGAGCACAAGGCTGCAGCCGTCGTCTGAGCAACAGAAAAAGCTTGTCGGCATAAAAACAGTGTGGCCGACCAAGCATGTAAAAGGAAACCATAAAGGGAAACATAAGTAAAAAAATAAGTGGAGCATATTACATAAAACGAATGAAATGAATAAAATGGATAAAATGGATATGGGAAGGTGTACTGGCTACTAAAAACTGACAGAAGAAGATAGTGTGAAAATAAAAATTAATATAAATAAAAATCTAATTTTATACTGGTGACTTGCGACGTTCAGTCACTATATACAATCATACCTCATGATATAGGCTGCAAAGCTGTAAGAGATATCTTGATGAGTGAGGGACAAATTCCTGATATACAAATCGATTTTATTTTAGAAGGTATCAATATTATTTTAAAGAATAACTATTTTTGGTTTTTAAACTCTTTTTACCTCCAAAAAAGAGGAACAGCTATGGGAACTAGGTTTGCTCCCAGCTACGCGAATCTATTTATGGCCGACTGGGAATCTACAGCTGTTTTTAGTGACCATGCTTGGAGAGCGAACCTGGTTTCATTTTTTAGATATATTGATGACCTTTTTTTTATATGGGAAGGTTCTGAAGATGATCTTAACTCTTTTATCACCAATCTTAATAACAACGATAGAGGCATAATCCTCACTCATGAATATAGTAGGGAACAAATTAACTTTCTAGACCTCAATATTTTTATTAAGGACGGCAAAATACACACTAAAACTTATTTTAAAAAAGTATGCGCAAATACTGCTATAGATAAGAGCAGTTGCCACTACCAACCCTGGTTAGACAGTGCTCCGAAGAGTCAAATATTGAGACTCCGGAGGAACTGCTCAGAAATAAGCGATTTTAATACTCAAGCTAATGTACTGAAAGACAAA